GTGAGAGAGTGGCATGGACATATATACACTACCAAATGTAAAACAGATAGCTAGTGGGAAGCAGCCGCATAGCAAAGGGAGATCAGCTCGGTGCTTTGTGACCACCTAGAGGGGTGGGATAGGGAGGGTGGGAGGGAGAAGCCAGAGGGAGGGGATATGGGGATATAAGTGTAAGTATAGCTGATTCACTCTGTTATACAGCAGAAACTAACACAACAATGTAAAGCAATTATACTCCAATAAAGATGTTAAAAAAAAAAGATCATTTCTCAGAAAATACTAATAACAATATATTAAGACTCTAATCTTCCCGGAAACAAGAGGATGGATAAAAAGGCCACTCCAGTTCCTTCCTTGATTGGAATTAGAATTCAAGTAAGAGAGAAATTTAAGCCAAAACGTCTCCATCCCTAGGCCCAGCTCTGGGGTGTCCAGATGGACTAATGGCCACTCACTAGGAATAAGGTGTCTTCTCTAGTCCCTTCCTCCCTGGAATTTAGTAATTCTTTTGAGTGAGAGAAATGTAAGCCAAATGACCTTCTGTCCCCAGGTCTAGATCTTGGGTGACCAGATGGACTGACCCATAACCAGCCCCATTAAGGCCTGGCTTTTGTTACTAGCTTGCTAATTCTAGATGCATTTCCAGGACCTTCTACCTTGGAGAAGTTTCTCTGTTTTGGGGGGCACAGAAGAAGAGATTCCATCTCAAGGAGCTGAAGAAGCTAGAACTTGATGGAAATTTAGGGAAAAGGGAAGGGGAAAAGTTTCATCTTTAGGAAGGAGACATATTCAAGAGGCTGGAATACCCCCCTCTTGGACCTTTGCTAGGACTTGAGTGAGACCTCCATCCTTCTTTGCCAGAAGGACCCTGCCTGTTCTGCTGTTTCTCACACCCATGACCCCACCACCACCACCATGGATTGTGTGAAGGATTACCAGCTCCCTTGTGAAAACAAGTCCCTGATCTCTGAAGTTTAGCAGCAGGAAGATGGTCAGGCAGGTGAGGCAGTGGGACCAAGCAGCCCATCGTGGTCCCTTGGGTTTCACTCTTCTCAGTGCTTCTCTCTCAGACCGTCGCTGCTGCCACCACACTGGCTTAATCAGTGGTAAACTCCCCTTCCCGCTCCTCCCCTCAGCGTGGAGGATGAAGGTGGGGCAATCAGTATTGAGTACATATTAAGGGAAGAGGTGAGGGAAGTAAGCAAAGGGATACATGAAGACTGAGACAGTCCATCTTGTAGGGCACAGGGCACTCATTCCTCCTCGACCTAGTGTCCCAAAATAGCTTCATAGAGTCCCAGAAAGAACAGCATAACTTCACAGGCCCCTTGCCTGGGTGTCTTCATTCCTACTTCTTGCCTGTCTGCGTGTGGAAGGTGGCAATATAAGCAGCCACCTCCTGGGAACAAACCCTTGGTCATCTTGACCTTTGGGGGTCAATATTGAGAGAAAAAGCCCCAATGTATCACTTACTTCAGAATCTCCACCCTGTCTGGTTATAGGGCTAGAAAAAAAGCCTTTTCCTCAGGTGGCAAGACAAGAAATAACCCCATCCTTCTAATGAAGCCCCACCTCATGCACCCAGACTCTACAGAGTAATATCAGACTCCAAAAACTCTAGCATCACGTCCATACCATGAGGAGGGGCTACAGAGTTCACCAGTTCCACATTTACTGTGCGGTCCATACCTGACATTTACAGAGCTTTGCTGGGACGAGGATGGTGGAGTGCGGTGTTTCTGCATCCATTTTGTAGTGGGGAAAATCGTACACTTAACAGTCCATTAAGTTATCATATATTCTACTTATGACACACCTCAATAAAAATATCTTTAATTAGCAGGCTTGTGAGCCTACCCTTTCAACAAAACCAGTCAAGGCAAGAATGTGGACCCCCATGCATTCCCGGGATTGGAGCCAGGGTCCAATCAGCCTGGGTCTAAATCCAGAGATGCTCTGGGATTCAGTGCAATCAGGAGGTTAAAAGCCCAGGCTTCCGAGTCTATAAGACTTAATACCATGTTCTCCACTTACTGGCTATGTAAGGTTGCTTAACTTCTCTGTGCCTCAATTTCCTCACTGGCAATATGGGAATAATATCTTCTCCATAGGAAGTAAGGATTAAATATGGTAAAGAGCTTAGCACAGTGCCTGGCACATAGTATGCTTGGTAAATAGCAGGTACTGTTGGTGGAGCGATGTGGCACCAGGCCATTCCAAGGACCGGTGCCTTATTAGAGAACAGGTCGTGATGAGACCTGATGGGACATCGAGGAAAGAAAAACCCAGAGAGAAGAGACCTTTCAATGTCTGAAGACACTGTTCCTCTTCTCTCCTTCCTATAAAGGCCACTGCTGCCTCTTTGGGCAGGGGAACTAGGAAAACTGATCCTCCTGGTTTCCACCCTCTCCATGAATAGACAACACCTAAGTTGTTCAGCCTCCAGGCCAGGATGTGTCAGGTCCCTGGAACTAGGTGGTAGAAAGGCTGCCCCCATGCCACCCCCAGAGCAAAGAGAGGTGGGTCTCACAGGGGCTCCGTGAGCAAGAACCAAGCCTGGGTGTCCAACCAATGGGCTTCGTGAATCCCTCTCCTCAAGGGGTTGGGGGAGGATAAAGCTCTATCTCCCATTTAGCACCATAATGAGAAACCATATGCTTCCCCCAGCCCTTCTCCAACCAGTGGGCCTCTAGTGGGGCCAGATGTTACTACAGGCTGCAGAATTTTTATAGGTTTATAGGTTTTAAAAGATCAGGTTCTTTGGTGGTAAACGTTTTACAGACCAGTAAAAATCTACTGGAGGAGATGGGAAGCACACAGCTGTAATGGGAAGGGCTGGAACCACACGTCTGGAGGATCTCAGCTCCATCCATAAGTAGCTTTGGGAACTGAGGCAAGTCCTGGAGGCTCTCTGGGCTCTGTGTTTTAACCTGGAAAATGGGAGCAAGAAAAGTGGTTAAAGGACTGTGTCATGGGACAGCATCATGAATGGGTGGAAAGCTCCAGGCACACATGTGAACACAGTCCTTCTTCCCATGGTTCTGGGAGCATCTGGACACAGAGGAAGGCCTGCAGACCCTACAGCCTCCGAGCTTTTCATTACCCACGCTGGATGGCTGCCATCTGTGCGTCTGCCTCCCTGGGAGGAGCCTGGCCGTCTGCAGGCAGAGCTCAGGAATCAAATTAGCCAGGCCTCTGCTTTTCCCTCATCCCCACTGGCCAAGGAGAGTTCATCAAGGCCTCACACTAATTCTTATCTTGTTTTAAAGGGGCAGAAGTGACTCCACAGTTTCATCGGAGGCAGTTTACGCCCCGCCACTGGCCACGGCTTCAACTCCCCTTGTCTGTTGTGTCATCAAGTCCATTAATTTCTTCAAGGGAAACTTGATTGCTGCTCCATCAGAGAGACACACAGGCAATACATCTCCATTGGAGGCCATGGCCTGCCCGACTCGCTCTAATTCTGTTACCTAAGAAGCTAATTCTCTAATGCACACGCTGGGCAGAAGACATCCTCTTCCATCCCTAACACAATCGGGCAGTCCCAGAGGGTCCCAGGAGCTCACTGCAGAAATGAAAGCTTGGGGTCCGTGGCACAGGGCCTCCAGGCTTCCTTACTGTCCCCGAGATGGTCCACCGCAGTATGGAGAGCCCATTGCCCAGAGTCCCATTCGGGGAGAATCAGCCACATTCAGGCCACCTGGGGCTCACCGCTCAGCCCCTTCCTGCTGCCTCTGCTTCACCCTTTCCCCTCCTCTTTCTTCTCCTCTTTTCCTACTTCTTTTCCTCTATTTGTCCCCCTCCTTCCTTGCCTTTTACTTCTACTTTCCTCTTCCTTCTCAGTTTCCTACCAATTTTTCTTTCTCTTCTCGTCTTCCTTTTCTGCTTCTTTTTACTTTTTTGCTGTACGCGGGCCTCTCACTGTTGTGGCCTCTCCCATTGCGGAGCACAGGCTCTGGATGCGCAGGCTCAGCGGCCATGGCTCACGGGCCCAGCCGCTCCGTGGCATGTGGGATCTTCCTGGACCGGGGCACGAACCCGTGTCCCCTGCATCGGCAGGTGGACTCTCAACCACTGCGCCACCAGGGAAGCTTTCTTTTTACTTTTTTACTTCTCCCCCTTCTCCTTCTCCAGACCCCCCCTTTCTATAGTTTACCTTCTGTTTCTTTTCAGCTTCCTCTTGTCCCTTTTTCTCCTCCAGCTTCAGTGCTGCCCCTTTTAGATCAAGTTCAGTGTCTGAGGCTCCTTCCTGGCTTGCTGCCTCTGGAGGGTTTAGCTCAGTGGAAGGAATGGGCCCCAGGCCACATTGGCCTGGGCTTGGAGCAAAATACAGCAGGGCGGGGGGTGCCTCATGTTTACCCACAGGGAGCCCCAAGGATACAGAATGGGACATTCTGTGTCCTTGTGTGTGTGTGTGTGGCAGGGGAGCAGTTAAATGTGTATTTGCTCTTTAATGATAATGCCCAGTCACCCGCTTAGGCAGGGGCACTGTGTCACCTGTGGAGTTAAAGCATGGTCCTCCTGCTTCTCGGACCCCACCCCACCCTGCCCCAGCCCGATGCTACCGATGGGCATAAATGAAGGCAGCAGCCTAAAGCACCTCCCAGTGGACAGGCTGTACCCTTGCTCCAGGAGCTCCTGAAGCCCCCTGACACCAAGTTGCTCCTTGGGGAACTTGGCCAGGCCACCTGGCTGAATGGGTGGACTGAGCTCTGGCCGCATGACATCAACCTGGTGGGCTCCCCTCTCACTGGCTCCCTCTTCTTCCTTCCCCGCCCTGAAACCTGATCCAGCTGAAGGACTGATTGCAGGAAAACTTGGCGGCTTCCCAGCCCTGGTGGCCGGGGCAGTGCGAGGCTGCAGCTTCCGAAGGTGCAGTGAGCAGCCAGCTGGGAGAGGCAGGCTGGCTGGGACATGAGGCTGGCAGAGCGCAGGCAGGCTGGTCCTCAGCAGGGCTCACCCTGAAGGCCACTCGAGGCGTCCGACACCGCGAGAAGCTCGCCATGCTGCTGTGGGTGCCGCAGGCGCTGCTTGCCTTGCTTCTGCCCACGCTCCTGGCCCAGGGAGAAGGTAAGGAGACCGTGGGGAAGCACGCAGGACCTGGCTGGCAGCTACAGAGGTGGGAGAGGGGATGCTTGGCCCCTCCAAAAGTTGAGGGAAAGAGGGTTTTGGAGTGGGTGGGGCTACAAGCAAGTTGGGGATCTTACTGCATATGAGCATGAAAGGATTTTAACACACTGGGATCCAGCTAGAAATTGGGGATGTTGAATGTCGGGTGAGAGCAGGGCTTGCAGAGAGGGGTCCTGAGCTGTGTGGGAAATGCTTAGACAGGCATGGGACAGGGGCTCCTCTCTTTTTGCCCTGCCCCCAAACTCATCGAAGGGCAGCTGCAAGGGAACTTTGAGCTCATTTGGTCCACCCTTTCTTGTTATAAATGGGAATGCTGTGGACCAGAGACGGGGAGTAATTCACTCAGGGTCACACAGCTCCTTAGCAGTAGAGTGGAGACCAGAATGAATGTCATCATGTTTCCCCAGCTTCACTGCTTTCGTTGCATGGGTTCTCTAAAGTTCCTTCCAGGGCTAACCTCTAATAGCACCAAACTTTTCTCTGCATTCCCCCACCCATCCCTTTCCGCCTCCTGGGGACACAGGGCGTTTTGGTCACAAAAGGATCCATTTCCTTTTGCTGCAGACAATATTTGTTCCCCATTTGGGAAGGTTTTCTCTCCATCCAGAGCAGGGTTGAAGCTGGGGCTGGGGCACAGTTAGGATGTGCTTAATTGGACGGATCTGAAGGGCTTCTGGGCACAATGGTTTTCCTCCCATGAGCTGTCGTTTGGGGAAACTCAGCCCAGGATAAGTAGGCCTGGGCTGCAAGTTAGGACTGTGGTCTGGAGTTTCCTTGGCTGAAGAGAAGCTCTATCCCTCCCAGCATTGGTCCTTTGCTCTGAGGCCTGCAGGACCCAGACTTGTTCTGTCCAAAGTGATCAGAGTCCCAGACAGTAGGATCTGAGCTGTCGTGTAGTGAAGACACACAGGGACCTGGGTTTGAATTTCAGTTACTTCCCTTGCAGGGCATGGCACTCATCTTTCTGAGCCTTGCGGAGCCTCACCAAGGCTTCTGAGACTTACCTTCTTTATCTATAAATGGGGTGTCATGATACTCACTCCAGTGGGCTCTCCTAAGACTGAAATGGACAATACGTTCGTTGATATTTTTTCAAAGGGGACACTCAATAAATGTCCTCTTGTCTTCCTCTCTCTCTGCTCTTCTCTGCCTTTCTGAGGGAAGCTGAAAGTTTATCAGGGGCAGGTGGGTGAGGGGCGGGAAGGGGGCTCTGCAGGACCAACTTGCTGTAGAGGTCCACACATGATAGATGAGATGGGAGAAGAAGCAGCCTTGTCGAGAGAAAGCCGGGCCTGCTGGCCCCTGGTCTGTGAAAGACCCTGGTCTCCCTCTGCCAGCCCCTCACGGCCTTGCAGCCTGTGCCTTTGTCCTCCAAGTTGTTCCCCTCCCCGACCCCGTCTTTCACCTTCATATTTCTGGCACCTTTCGGGAGGTGCTTCTACCGTTTCCCAGACGGACAACTGTGGTGCTCATGAAATCCCCAGAGAGCGGGGCTAGGGCCTAGGGGTTGGGGTTTCACTGTTTTATCTTTGCAGGCCTCCTGCTCTGGGGACCGTTTGGTTTCTCCTCACTTCATCCACACCTCAGCCCAGCCCTCTTCCTAACCCCATCAAACCTGCCCATAAAGCTACCCTAGAAGGAGGCCTGGCAAACCCTCCCCAGGAGTTTCTGTGAGTGTGGAGAGGGGGCAGGGATCTCCTCTGAGTAGATTTTGCAGGAGGGAGAAGGAATGTCCATATTCACTGGATGCCCACCCTTTTCTCCTTACCAGTTGCAGGCTGGGGTCAAGGGGACAATGTGCTATGCAGACGCTGAGATGTGACCTTGGCTGAGACTGACCCTCGGCAGACCATTGGGCTTAGAAATTGTGCACTTGGGGACACACTTTCCAGTATCACACCCGAGGGCCAGCTCCCCTTTATCTCCCAGAGCCCCTCATGCAGGGCCCCATGGGCCCACCTCCTCTGGGCAGGCAGCTTCTCTCAATCCTTCTCAGCCCTTGGCCTACTTGAGACCTCACCTGTTTTCTGACACCTGCTTTCACAGCCCAGCTTCCCTTCTCATGTAAATGGGCGCCTAGGCTACCCTTAGGAGACAATATCTTTGTATTTGGGCATGCTCTAGTGATGGGAATTTCAGTCTATGGGAGTATCTGGGAAGGGTGGGGACACTTTCCTTTTAATCGTTTTCAAACCAGGGCCAGAGAACTGGGGGAGACTCAGGCTCTGTTGTCTGATTTGAACTGTTCTCCTTCCCAGCCAAGCACAGGCGGGGCCCCCAGGCCCGGAATGCCTCCAGGCCAGCTCTGCTGCGGCTGTCAGATCACCTCCTGGCCAACTACAAGAAGGGTGTGCGGCCTGTGCGGGACTGGAGGACACCGACCACGGTGTCCATTGATGTCATCGTCTACGCCATCCTCAGCGTGGTGAGCGCCTGTCCCCACTGCCCGGCTCAGAGGTGGACCTTCTGGGTGGGAGACCATGTGAGACCAAGTCACCCCCAGGCAACACGGTGGGCATTCAAGCGCCCACAGTACCTGTGCTCTGGCACCACGGCTCAGGACAGCTGCCCAAACCAGAAAACTGGGGTCACCTTCATGGCTGCCTCTCCTGTACCCTACAGCCAGCGGGTCACTCAGCGCATGTGGTTTTCACAATCGTACCTACCCGTGTGAGCTGTGTGAGGGTTCAGACCGTCCTATTCGTCTCTACACCCTTGCTGTCTTACACACGTCCTTGGTACATGGCGGGTGTTACTAAATTGTTGTTGAAGAATTAATCCTAAATAAATCAATTAATCAATTACTGAAGTAGGGTGGGGTGCACTGCCCAGCCGAGGAGGTCGGACATTGGGCAGAGATAAATGAGAGGGCAATTGCAAGGGCACTGCACTGGGGTAGGATGGGTGGAATGGACTTCTCTGGCTGTCTCTACTAGAGTCAGTTGGCCGTTTCAGGAAGGGAAATTGGGAATTGGATCGAAGGGAGGGATAGTGATGGAGTTTTCATCCTGTGTGGTTTTGTACAGCTTGACTCCATGCTAGAGCAGGAGATAGATACACACATATAAATGTACGGATATACATCTATATGATGCTCTTATATGTCTTCTATCATTATCTTCTATTGTGTTATAAATGTATATGTAAAATACACACAACAGAATAGAAGATAATAGAAGACACACACACACACACACACGCACTATGTTAAAAAAGAAATCACTGGACTTCTTTCTAGGTGTGTCCTAGTAAAAGACCAACTCTTCCGGGCTCACCCCTTTTCCTCCACCTCATTTCCTCACTGTCACTTCCCAAGTGAACAGAGACACAGAGCAGCCCCTCCTGCTGGGGTTGGTGTGCGCAAGGGGCCTGCAGCCCACAGGGCCACCTACGCTGAGCTCCCGTTCTCTCCACAGGATGAGAAGAATCAGGTGCTGACCACGTACATCTGGTACCGGCAGGTGAGCTGACCAGCCCCTGCCCCTCCCCCACCCCCATTTCCTCGGACTGGGGCTCCTACATCTCAAAGGAGTCAGGATCTCAGAGGCCTTGGGGAGGGGAGGGGAGGGGAGGGAAGAGGTGGGAGGCCTACTCACGAGATCCAGGATCTCCTGGATCTGGATCGCTCTAACCTCAGGACTTAAGGTGGCTTAAGGCGGCTTAAGGCGGCTTAAAGATTGGTGGGGCTTCCCTGGTGGCGCGGTGGTTGAGAGTCCGCCTGCTGATGCAGGGGACACGGGTTCGTGCCCCGGTCCGGGAAGATCCCACATGCTGCGGAGCAGCTGGGCCCGTGAGCCATGGCCGCTGAGCCTGCGCGTCTGGAGCCTGTGCTCCGCAACGGGAGAGGCCACAGAGGTGAGAGGCCCGTGTACCGCAAAAAAAAAAAAAAAAAAAAAAAAAAAAGATTGGTGGAGGACGAATCCTCCACACCCTGGTTTCTGAAGTTTTTCACAGCCTCACAAACATGTGCTTTTCCCACCTCTGTTGCTCAAACACCTCAGTGACTGGTAGCTCAGAAGGCAGTCACTTTGCTTTCAAACAGCTCTAATTGCTAGAAAGTTCTTCCTTCTATTAAAGCCAAATTGGACGACAACCAAATTGGGTGATTGAAACAGGATGATTCCATCCAGTTAGTCTCCCCATCCCCGGCCATTTGCCCCTCTTCCAGCTTCTGAAGGGCATCGCTCAGGCACTGGTGTGTGGAGGGCTGTGAGGCCTTGGCAGCATTTCTGGCTTGGAGCTGGCCGGGGAGGGCAGGAGACAGTGCGGGCTGCCGTCCACAGGCTGGTCCTGCTCTGGCAGCCCCTGAGGCTGTGGGGAAGACATCAGAGCAGGAGGGGACACCAAAGTGGCTGAAGAGAGGACAGCAGGAGGTGGGGGACAGTTCCTAGAAGTCAAACCCGAGAGAGGCTCTGAGGACACACCTGGTGTATGTGGGTCTCTGTTAAATCCCTCCCGCTCCTCATGGGACAGGGAGTGGGGTGGAGGGAGAAGTCAGAATGCTGATTCCTGACGTCCTGCTCCCTTTCTGCCTTAGCGAGATCTCTTAATACACAGCACACCTGCTTCAAGAGAGGGACCCAAGCCAGAACAGGCATTCTGGGGCCCCTTTCCCGGGACATCTGGCTTAAGTCCCACCTCTGGACCTCCAGGGTCACTTGTCTGCTCCAGCAGTAGGAGATGCCAATCTACTATGTACCAGCAGCTGTGCTAAGGCACCAAATTAGACTCAGGTCCTGCCCACAATGAGCTCATAGACTAGTGGAGGCCACAGACACGTGAACAGACAATGCAACACAGCAAGATAGCCGCTCCTATGCAGCAAAGAAAAGATGCCAATTGTGAGAGCAAAGAAGAGGCACTAAACTCATCCTGGGGAGTGGGGGTCATGGGAGGCTCCTGGAGAAGGAAACAGACAGATTCCTTGGTTACATCTGGAAGGATGAGTAAGACTCACCTCGATAAAGAAGGCAGGACTGCAGCATGCGGGGAGCAGGATACGCAGCGATGCAGAGGTTTTGACCATGTTTAATTCCATGTGGCTGGAGTGTAGACTCCACAGAGAGCCATGGCAAGAAAAATGAGGCTGGAGAGATAGGTGGAGGCCCAATCGGGTGGGCCTTTGTTGTCCATGATCCTAATGGCAGTGGAGCTCCACTGAAGACTTTTAAGCAAAGGAGTGACATGACGAAATTTACGTTTTAGATCAGTCATTCTGGCAGGATAGTGGAGGAGGCATTGATCAAAATTTAGTAATAACCGTCTCTACCCTATGAGGTGCATGCTATTATCCCTGTTTACATATGTGCCGATCAAGACCCAAGAAGCAATTTGTCTAAGATCCCTCAGTTGGTGGCTAGGGGGTTTGTAACATTAGAAATTATTGAATACCTTCCCGGGGAGAGGCTGCATCCGTCTGTGTTGTATTCGCATGTAGGGATGTGTAAGTATAGAGGTGGGGGGACATCTGGGTACCGCTGAGTGGTCTGGGTGCCACTGACACCCAGATTCTCCCAAGAAGATGCCCACCTGTTACCTGGGCTCCAAGTGGTGAAGTTGGCCTGAGTTGTGGACGACTCGGCCTGAGACGGACGGGGTAGCCTGTGACCGTTCCTGTCCCTCCCCTAGTACTGGACTGATGAGTTTCTCCAGTGGAACCCTGAGGACTTTGACAACATCACCAAGTTGTCCATCCCCACGGACAGCATCTGGGTCCCAGACATCCTCATCAACGAGTTGTGAGTACTGCCATCAGATACTGGGCAGCCAGGGGGCGGGAGACAGGATCACTGCTGTTGCATTTGAGATGCCCCACTAGACCTGCCGAACCATAGGTGAGGTTGAATCGGGCCCCAATTCCCCTTTGTCTTTTTTCTCCCTTTCCTTTCTTTTTAGAAAACTCCTCTTTTTCTATGTCTGATGTTGAAACTCTGCACTTCTTGGTCCAAGGGCCCCCTTCCCCGGGAAGGGAGGCCAGTGAATGAATCCACACTGAATCATAATAGTCTAATGAGGAACGGCTGCGTTTTCAAAAGGGACAGTTACATTACTGAAGGGAATGAAGTGCTAGCAGTGGTTACTGCTCCTGGTCATGAAGGAGATTTGGGGCCGGGAGACACTCAAACTTTCAAGTCACACATGTGCCTCACTGGCCACAAATTGCACCCCCGATATGAAGTGGGTCCCACCAGCCTTTATTCCTAGCCGCCAACATTCCTTCTCCCCATTCTTCAGGCTCCACTGCCTGGGTTTCTGAATCCAAGGTCTGGGAAGATGGCTGGGGAGATACACAGAAGGAGAAGGTGGTGGGGGCCAGTTGCCCTCCACCCAGTACCCCCCGCATCACCCAGTTCCAGGGGGTGCCATTCACCTTGTTATTTGGGGAGGCAGCTGACTCAGAGCCCCGGCCTTGCATAGCTCAGGCTGGAGGGATTGGGGAGCCCCAGTTTCTGGCTGGATCTCCAGCTTAAACAGTGACGTAGCCTTGGTCTTGACTTCTCATCTCTCAACCTGATGTCACAGAAGGCTCTGCAGGCTCAGGATCTGAGGCTCAGCCACAGTGGTTGCTTGGGAGAGCCTGGCCCGGGGTGGGCTGATAGAACGGGATGAAGTTTGCAGGACTTTGCTGTTTTGTTCCAATTCTCCTCACTGATTTTGCCAGTTCCTTCCCCACTGCCCCACCCCGGAAATGATGGTTTTCATTTCACAGGACTTCTAGGGATGGAACCCAAGGTCCTGCTCTCCCACCAAGCCTGCCCGTCACCATCGGGCTGGTGATCCTGGGGGCTGAGGTCTGCCCAGCCCGGGTGGGGGGCGCATGGGGACAGCTGGGCATTCTCCTTACAGCCTGTGGCTTGGGGGTCCATGGACTCCTGGCCTGCCTTTTGTGGTGAGGTTGCCAGGGGAATAAATGAGAAATGCCCTTTACTGCTTGGAAAGTGGCCTTGGCAATGGCAGGTGAGGAAGCCTAAGATAGATAAGAAGGTTGGAAAAATGGAGGCCAGACAAAACTGCCAGGATGTCTTGCTGCCTAGAACCTCCCTGCCGAGTAGCTCAGAGACCTTCAGACTCCCACGGCTTCACCTGCTTCTTGAGTCCCAAACCGACCCCTCTTCCCTGGCCAGTGTGGACGTGGGGAAGTCTCCAAATATCCCGTACGTGTATGTCCGGCATCATGGAGAGGTCCAGAACTACAAGCCCCTCCAGGTGGTGACCGCCTGTAGCCTCGACATCTACAACTTCCCCTTCGATGTACAGAACTGCTCGCTGACCTTCACCAGCTGGCTGCACACCAGTGAGTCTGTGGGCTTCGGGAGGCGGGAGCACATGTTGGGGGTGCCCAGGGTGTCCGCTTGAGGAGCACACCCTAGGATGCAGTCTCCCTCCTCCAACTTGATCACCCCTTGTTTTTTAATGTTGCTGAGCCTCTGTTTCCTTATCTTCCAAATGGCACTACCATTGTTGCCCTTGTTGCCTCCCTCAGTTGTCATAAGGATTGAATGAGACAGTGTAAACTGACGGCAAGATGCTCAGGGACAATTCTTTCCCAATATCACAAGTAGGAGCTGGCACGAAATGTCTTTCAAATCCAGCCACTTCTCCACTGATGGACCCTCCCCACAGTGCAAGCAACCCTCATCTCCTGCCCAGGTTGTTGCAGTAGCCTCCTAGCTGTCCCCACCCATTCATTCTTCCTCCCTCCCCCCCATTCATGCTCCTCACAGCAGCCAGGGAGATCTCATTAAAATGCAGATCTGATCACGTCACTGTCTGCTTCCCTGAGACACAATCCAAATCTCTTACCTGGCCGAGAGGCCCCTGCAAAGTGTGGCCACCCCTCCGGCCTCACCTGGTGTGCGCTCCGCAGCCCAGCTGCCTGCCTTCCTGGGCCCCAGAGCCCCTTGTTCTTTCCTTTACTCGCATGCTGCTTCCTCTCCTAGGCCAATGTGTCCCTTCCCCTCCCTCCCCCTTTCCCCTTTCTGCCCCACTGGCCCTCCCACAGCTGGGCCAACTCCTCTACAGTCCTCCTAATCACAGTGTCCCCGTCCGTGCCCCAGGGAAATCCCCTCTCATCCCCCAGACGAGGCATCCCCAGCACTCAACTTCTTAGTCTCCTGTTCTCCCCACTTCTAGTCACTTGTAAGGACTCGTTCAATGTCTACTCCTCCAGATAGAAACTTAGAGAGGGCAGCGACATGATTTCTATCCACCATTAGATCCCCAGGGCAGTGCCGGCCCAAAGGAAGTCGCTCGGTAAACTTTTACTGAGTGGACAAACGTTAGGTGCCCAGTATGGTCTGGTGAAGTGAGAATTGCCCTACTGCAAAAAGGCATCCTCCAGTTCTATCCTGATTTTATTGCATTAACTGTAAATGGCAAAGGTAATACCTAACTCCCTTGAACAAAAGCCATAACTACAGGGACTTCCCTAGCGGTCCAGTGGTTAAGATTCTGCCCTTCGATTCCTGGTCGGGGAACGAGATCCTGCATGCCACGCAGCGCGGCAAAAAAATTTTATTTGAAAGCCCTAATTACAAATAATCTTTGATCTTTGACCCTTACTCTCAGTCCCAAACGCTTACCAACAACTCCCCGCACCAAGACTTAACAACTTGTATCAGTACAGACTTCACACAATATGTTCTTCCAGATCCTGCTCTATCCTTTGAATATATACACATACATACACATCTATGGAAAGTGCCTGGAAATTGTCTTATAGGTTTTTATTTTACATAAATGTAAAATATTTCATGTTCTATTATATACTGGTATCTGAGGCTTTTTACTCAACAACAGGTCTTGGACATTTTTCCAAGTTACTGCAGATTTAGCTCTTCCTCATAAATTTTGACTGCTGTAGAATAGCTTATGATTTGGACTGCATGATACCTTATTGAGCATTTTCCTGATTGGTAGCCATTTAGATCTTCCCCAATATTTTGCTGCAGTGCCTACTTCTGTCCTTTTGTGCATATGTCTATCTGTTTCTCTAGTATTGATACAGAGCAGTATAACCACTGTTCTATAAGTGAGTATAATAGTAAGTGCTTATTTTCCTAATTCACCTTTCTATCAAGGCAAAGGTGAGGAAAGCTGTCTCTTGCTCATTGTCTAAATGAGAAATTCTAACAGGAAACCTAGAAAGGTGCTTGAAGGGCTGTGTGTGTGTGTGTGTGTGTGAGAGAGAGAGAGAGAGAGAGAGAGAGAAACAGACAGACAGACAGAGATAGACAGAGAGAGAAAGACAGAGAGAGACAGAGACAAAGACAGAAACAGAAACAGAGAGAGAGAAGAGAACTTCCGAATAAATGGTTCGCTGGTTCTTTGCATTTTGCTGTGTTCCCACCCAAGACTTCGTCTCCCTTGTTACAGCCCCACTGCACAGACAGGTGCCGTGTGCACTATTACCTCATCGTATAGCTGAGGACACTGAGGCTGAAGATTAAGAGCTGAGGCTTGAGCCACACCACGTGGGTGTTGCCCCACCATCACAGGCACACCCCTGGCTCAGACTCCAAAGCTGCTTGATTTCTCCTCTCTCAGTCCAGGACATCAACCTCTCCCTGTGGCGCCTGCCGGAAAAGGTGAAACTGGACAGGAGCATCTTCATGAACCAGGGCGAGTGGGAGCTGCTGGGGGTGCTGACACAGTTTCGGGAGTTCAGTATAGAAAGCAGCGACTGTTACGCAGAGATGAAGTTCTATGTGAGTCGGACACGAAGCGGATGTGGGTAAAACAATGAATAAAGTCACACCCAGGTAGACTTAAGGAGGCATAGCCCTTTCCCAGCTCACACTCTTCCCTCAGTGAAGTAGGTGGGGAAACGCAACTGAATTGTCCTTTACTTCTCCTGAACAGCCGCAAGCCTGGATCTGGAGGCGGAATATGGGGTCTGCCCATCTCCTTCTCCGAGCAATCCAGGCTGCAAGCCCCACGAAGCAGGGGTGTCTGGGATGGGGTGGTGGTTCCTGGGTGCAGGACCCGTCTGCTCCCGGCTCCCCCAGAGCTCCTCTCTTGGTCCCAGGTGGTCATCCGCCGGCGGCCCCTATTCTACGCGGTCAGCCTGCTGCTGCCCAGTATTTTCCTCATGGTCATGGACATCGTAGGCTTCTACCTGCCCCCGGACAGTGGCGAGAGGGTCTCCTTCAAGATCACGCTCCTCCTGGGCTACTCGGTCTTCCTGATCATTGTGTCCGACACACTGCCGGCCACGGCCATCGGCACACCCCTCATTGGTAAGGCCCGCTCCCGGGGAGGAGCTCAGTGCGACCGAGGAACAGAGGAACCGGCCCTCTCCTACCTCCCGTGTGTGTCCCCCACTCCCGCCCCACCCCGGGGTGCACAGGTGTCTACTTCGTCGTGTGCATGGCTCTTCTGGTGATCAGCTTGGCCGAGACCATCCTCATCGTGCGGCTGGTACACAAGCAGAACCTGCAGCAGCCGGTGCCTGCCTGGCTGCGACACCTGGTCCTGGAGAGAGTCGCCCTGCTCCTCTGCCTAGGGGAACAGTCGACTTCCCGGAGGCCCCCAGCCACCTCCCAAGCTGCCAAGACCGATGACTGCTCAGGTGAGAGAGGGAACTTCTGGCCTGGATGCAGGGACATGGGAGGGATTCTCTGGAGGGCTAGCTGGGCCAGAGAGCCTGGGCAGGCCCTGGGAAGTGGGTACCATCCTGCACAGAGAACCCACGGTGGACTTCAGCCAAAGGCATCAATAAAACCCTTTCCTCACCTTTGTATTTGCGCATCATCCCAGGTGGGGACGGAGAGGGATTAGGAGTCCCAGAGGCTGAGCAGATCAGGAGCTGAGACCTCTGGGCTGAGGGTGGCCTCTCCTGAGATGGATCCCGAGGCGGGGGGGGGGGGGGGGGTGTGTGTGTGTGTCAAATGGATGCCTCTCGGGCACTTATGGGACAGCTAGCCTCATGTGGTTCAGCACTGCACCCGGGTTCCTAACACTCTCTCATTAGAAACAGCCAAAGACCAGGTCCATTAGAATTTCAAACACCTATAAGGCAGAGGGACAGGGCACAGAGGGACACTAAATTCCTCATGCCCCTGAGGAATTTGTCATCCTTGCTGTTGGCGGTGGTGGTGGTTGGTTTGCTGGTTTATTTCTTGAGCACTTTACCAGGTGTTTGCAAAGCATTGTTCGTGCATCATCACAGGTGATTCTCATGGCAACTCAATAGGATCTGCACTCTAATTTTTCAATCAGCAAACAGAAGCATAGAGAAGCCAAATAGCTTGCCCTAAGTCACAGAGCCAGGACCTGGTGAACCCACAATTGGAACCCAAGCCCACCTGACTCTAAGCTGGAGTTTTAAACTCTCCACCCCACTCCCCTCCTTGCGTCTTCTTCCTGGCTGGGGCCAGGCCTTTTACAGAAGATGTTTGGTTAATCAAAGACCATCTCATCGTGAGCTCGCGCGACAGCCTAATACCTAATTCAACTGCTCACCTGGGGAAGGTAGTGATGCGAAGGTGTATTTTCTGGCCTAGAAGGATTTGAAGTCATGGAGAGGAGGGCAGTGAGGCAATATGATGTAGTGGACAGAGCAGTGGCTTTGGAGTCCAGATACCTGGGCCTTGGTGGCTTCCCCTTTAAATGATGCTCCAACTGTGTCACCACGGGCTAGTCACAACCCCTCTGAGCTTTAGCATCTTTATATGAAGATTGTGGTTGGTAATTACTCTTATTCTGCCTCTTTGTGGGGCTGCTGGGAGGCTCAAATGAAATGATGGATATCAAATTGCTGGGGAAGGCCCATGGGTTAAAAAAATGCATGGGAAGGATAAATATCAAATTCATGATCTTGGTGATGTGGGGAGGGAACGGAGGATGTGACTAAGGAGAGGTATACACGGATCTTCCACTGTACTGGCTTTCTTTCTTTTTTTTTAATGAACCATACTTTATTTATTTATTTTTGGCTGCGTCTGGTCTTCATTGCTGTGCGCGGGCTTTTCTCTAGTTGTGGTGAGCGGGGGCTACTCTTCGTTGTGGTGCACAGGCTTCTCATTGCGGTGGCTTCTCTTGCTGTGGAGCATGGACTCTAGGCGCGCGGGCTTCAGTAGTTGTGGCACGTGGGCTCAGTAGTTGTGGTGTGCGGGTTCAGTAGTTGTGGCTTGTGGGCTCTAGAGCACAGGCTCAGTAGTTGTGGCGCACGGGCTTAGTTACTCCGTGGCATGTGGGATCTTCCGGACCAGGGCTTGAACCTGTGTCCCCTGCGTTGGCAGGCGGGTTCTTAACCACTGCGCCACCAGGGAAGTCCCTGTACTGGCTTTCTTTATTTGTTTAAGTTGGATGGTGGGTACACAAATACGTAAGTTATTCTCTATACTTTTTTGGTCTAAGATTATAAATAATAAAAATGTCTGAGGCCTTAGAAACCTAAAGGTCAGTGTTCAAGCAAGGCTACTGGGCCTCCCTCCTTTGCCAATGCTCTGCCCTTCTTCTAGACATGGCAAACCACTGCAGCCATTTGGGGGGATCCCGGGACTTGGAGAAGACCCCGAGGGGCAGTGGCAGCCCTCCCCCACCGCCGCGGGAGGCCTCCCTGGCGGTGCGTGGGCTGCTGCAGGAGCTGACCTCCATCCGGCATTTCCTGGAAAAACGGGAGGAGAGCCGAGAGGTGGCCCGGGAGTGGCTGCGCGTGGGCTCCGTGCTGGACAGGCTGCTCTTCCGCATCTACCTGCTGGCGGTGCTGGCCTACAGCGTCACCCTGGTCACGCTCTGGTCCATCTGGCAGTATTCCTGAGTGGGTCCAGCCCAGTAGGGGGTGGGTAATGAGGCTGGTTAGGCTGGGGATGGGGGAATTTCAGGGCCCAGGGATGCCAGGGACCTTCTCAAAACACATAAACAGTTCCATGCCTGTTTCCAATGCCAAGTCTCTCAGCAATCCTGAGACAGGGCCTTAACCCTTCCCCTAAAAACTTGGTGTTTAAGGCTCTTACATCCTCCACTCTCTTACAGGCCCATTATGGCTTTAAAACACACTATCTTAGATCAGGAGAAATCCACGCATGCCCTGACTTCACTCTATCTAAGCATCAAGCCTCAGTTTCCCCATTGGCGCTCCCCTGAATTGGCACCTTGGAATCTGCTCACTCCCTCAGCCTTGTTTTGAGACGGAAGGTAAACCAACTCTCTACCACACGGGCCTGATAACTCTGCATTAGGTTTATCCAACCCTAATGTCTCTCTGTTCACTTCACCTCTGGCCACTTCCCTGAACATCCATCAGATGGGGGAGGTGGGGTAATAAAATGCTATGAAGCCCCTAAACTCTCTTCTTGACCATTTGTCAGCAGCTGGGTGGGTGGAAGACGAGGTCTGAAGTTGCTGGTGGAAATGAGGTTGGGGAATTATCTGTGGTTTCAGATGTATGATGCTCTCTGCCCCAAGGAATTAAGAAGTGACCAAACAGTGGCTGTTCTGAAAAAGAAAAAATAGGAGGTGGGATTCAAGGTGTGAGGGTCAGGACCATGAACACAATGCAGAGGTGGGGAGGAGGGTGCTCAGTTCTGTGACCTCCTGGAAAGATGCTGGAAGGGTCTACACAGTCCTGCTATCATTCTGGGCTCACGGTCTCTTGGTGAAGCTGGAAGCCAGCTCTCTCCCTGCAAGAACATCGGCACCACAGCCAGCACCCTCTGGTTCGGTGTTTGAAAGCAGAAACTGCTAAGTCTTGAGTTTATGTTTCTCCTTTGGGAACTCTCAGCAGCCGGCCCCTGGCACATCCACCAGAAAGCAGGACCATGATGGAGGCAGAGGCCGGGGCATGGTCTTTGATCTTGCATCTCAGATCCTGGCCCCTCTCCCACACATCAGGATTTAAGACATGCTAAGGAGCATCCCAACTCTATCACTCCATCCACCTAACAAGCATTCAGAGGGAAGGAATGCCAGAACCACCAAGAATGATGGCTTCGTGTTTGCCATGTTTGCTTGAGGCTTTCTCTGGTTCTCCCTTTCTCATTCCAGCTTTATCTCTTTCCCTGTCTTGGGGTGCCTGTCTCTTAGGGACTGAATTCTACAAGGCTGAAAGAAAAGGACCCCCCAAAATACCTGGGATGAGTTGTTTCAAGGCTGGTGAACTACAAGGGATTCAGTATGGATCACCTGAACCTATACTTTCCCTGATCCCAAACTCGGCAGCTCTAGTTTCTAGACCATCCAGTGAAGCTGGACGGAGGGCAGAACCTTAGGCCCTTGAGAGCTTCATGTCTGAAAAAGCCTAGAGGCTGAGGAAGCAGGCTTGTCTGGTTTAGCTTCTCTGAGCTTCTTCTTCTCACCCCAGTTTCCCCAGCATGCCGAAAGAACTCATTAAATATTGTCTATCCGGCTGCTGGTTCGTAAATTGACCTGGAATGAGGTTTCATCTGCTCTCCTCAGACATATGTGCTCTTGATATTGGTTAAGGATTTTTGTTTGTTTTGCTCATGGATAGGTATCAGGGTTTCCCAGCAAAAAGCAGGAGACTGTGGGGCTGGAGATTGGCTCCCATTCACAATTGTTGCCTCCTGCTAAGCGCAGGTTGGGCTAAAGATGAGGGGTGCTCATCCCGACTCTCTCAAGATGGTCCTGGCAGCCCAAACTTGGGAGCCTGGTCTTGGGATCAAAGCTGTCCCACTCCACTCTCCACTTGGCCCTGCTGGGCCAGTCATGCTGCTGGGTGATTCTCACGTCTCAGGCCAGAGAGAGAGAGAAAGCTGGACAGTCTGGAACTGTCGATGCACCACTGATCAGTAAGTGGGTGGCTATTGACAAGGTGTCCAACCAGAGAGCTAGTAAGATACTAATCAACCTATTGATTCCCCATCTCCCCCTCCCCACTCTTCACCCACAATCAATGGGGTAACAAGCCCAGCATTGAGGCAGCCAATCAACCAACCCGAGAGTGAGCCACCACATGTAACATCTTCCGCTCCACTAGCCACAGCCAATCAGCTCATCAATGCAGCATCCAGGCTGCGCTGCCCAGGGATGGGAAACTGAGACCCAGGGCCAGAGGATCCCCCGGTGTACTAACCCCTGTCCGTCAGTATTGATCTTGGGCTCCTCCCAAGGAGACCTTTACCCAGTCTGGGATATGAGAACACCCAGAAGCTCCCTCTCACCTGTTATCTCTCCCAGAACTTGCTTGCTTCCTTCCTCCTGCCACTTCAGCTCCTTCCCTCTCCGTGTGTCCTAGGCAGAGAGGGAAAACCAGAAACCGCCCACGTCTTTACAAGTGCTTCTGGGAAGCACCCTGGTTCTCTCTGTCTCATCTCCACTCCTCTCCTGCAGCCTTCTCCATTCACCTACGAATAGTCCCGCTTCTCACCTTCTTTCCCATCCACGCAGCTTTCCAAACCTGTCATTTCTCCTCAAAAGACTCCCTTAAAGATCTTGAAAGTGCCCAGCCTGAACCGCCCTGTATGGTGCTCCAAGCTGTGGAGTCCACCGCCACCATCCCAGGGAGGCTGCCTCTCCTCCTAGGCAATGGCCATCTCTGCTCAGCGACCCCAGGGCCCCTGACAACAGTGGACATTCTGCGGCTCTTGGGAGGGTCTAGGGAGAGTAGCTGAGCTCAGAGTCAGGATGTGGGCTTAGGGGAGATTTCACTGAGAGAATAGGAGGGAAACTTGCCTGGTGGGGTAGGGGGGAGGACGAGTCAGTTGGGAGGTATGGTTCAACATTCCCCAGCCAGATTCCCCTCCTTCCCTCCCTCACTTCCCTCCAGCCTCTGAATCAATACGTTTTGAATCTAATCTAATAACAGAGATTTAAAGAGGGGATAATGCTTGTGGAGCGGTCCGGCGCTTTGTCTCTTCTTTCAAGCGGCAGCTGGGGCCCATTATCCAAGGACAATGCCCCATGCTAATCACTCCCTCTCTCCTCCGAGTGTTGGGGGACGGGTGGCGGGCAAGAGAGGGCAGCTCCTCCCCTGATTGGAGGGGAGTGGAGGGGGGGGAAGAGGGGGGGAATAAGGTCTGGCCGGGGCCCCTCTCAATCGCCTTGACCTGACACCAGCTCAGTGGGCTTCTCCCCAGACCGCAATGTCCATCCTGGGCAGTCAGGGCTGGAGCCCCAACAGTGCACACAAACAGCAGATAATTACCTATCAGCTACAGTACCAGGGGTTGGGAGTTGGGCGGGTTTTTTTTTTTTCTTCTTCTTCTTTCCTCTAACTTGGTCCTCTATAATTTAAGCTCTCCCATTAAGGCCTGTGATTGGCCAGCCCTGACTGTCACGGTTAGAGAATGAAACTCTGCTTTTAGAGACCAAGAATACCCTTCTCGGAAACAGAAGCCTGCTTCGCATCCTCTCTCTCTCCTATCTGGGACCTTATATCTGGGCTTGACCTGCAGGAGGAGGGGTGGGAGGTTAGACTGCAAGAAGAACTTCCTGAGAGCCATATTCCTGACATGAATGAGATTGGGAGTCTGAAAGGGAAGGAATGGAACTCATTTCCTAGAAGCCTTTAAGGAGAGACTTTTAGGGCTTCCCTGATGGCGCAGTGGTTGAGAGTCCGCCTGCCGATGCAGGGGACACGGGTTCGTGCCCCAGTCCGGGAGGATCCCACATGCCGCAGAGCGGCTGGGCCCGTGAGCCATGGCCGCTGAGCCTGCGCGGGAGAGGCCACAACAATGAGAGGCCCGCATACCGCAAGAAAAAGAAAAAGAGAGACTTTTATCTAAGTTGGGAAGGGGCAGAGCAGGGAGAAGATCTGCCTCAATTTCCACTGTCAAAACTCAAGTTGGGAGGGAACCAGAGCTAGGACACCAGAAGCATGGCTACTCCCATTCCTTCTGCAATACATTTATTGGGCACAATATCAGAGTGCCATGTGGAGTGGGCCACCCCAAATTTGAATTTTGGCCCCATCACATGCTAGCTGTGAAGCCTTGGACAAGCACTTAATTCCTCTGTGCCTCAACCTTCTCATCTGAAAAATGGGCACACATTAGTACCTGCTCATAGGTGCTGTGGGGCACCATACTCTCAGTATGGGGCCAAAGCCCAGGGAAGTCATGAGGCTGGAGTAGAGGGATGTCTAGTGGCTTAGGGGCCCTTCCTTGGTCTGCTCACATCACATTCTGAATGGGTAGGAACGTCTCCCTTTTCCTTGTTGGCTCCATTTTAGAGATGGGCATTCACTATAAGGCCAGCAGGGGATAAAGTTCTATCCACACCAGGCTGAATTCATATCTTTATGTCCCATACCTTACTGTCCCTTTTTCTCCTATCTCTACCCACTCAGCCTCGCTCGCCCCTGTGCATTCCCAGGCTCCTTTGTACAGAGTTCCTCCCTAAAACTACAGCTTTGAGTTCCTCCTCTGGGAAAGCATGTGAATACTGGGCACAGCTTGGGGGGGATCATCCTCCTCCTGGCTGGGTCTCTCCTATTCAATTCCACCTCCTGTGTCCCTGTCTGCAAAGAGACCTAAATTCCTGGCAGTGGGACACATCATGAACATGACATCCAGGACCATGGGAGCCTAGGACTCACTTCCATGTGCCTGGGCGAACCCCCCACTCAAGACTCAGAAAGAAGTACCATCCTGTAAGGCCCGGAATAGGACATCAAACTTGGGCCAAGGACAGTCACAACCCGGTCCTTCTAAATTCTGTCCACAAGGTGGCAGCAAAGTCCAGCTATTCTATCGAGGGGATTAGGCAAACTTTTTTTGCCCCCTTCTCTCCCCCCTTCCCCCTCAAATGCCCCAACCCTCCTCAGGAGCCTCTGAGTCCCCTTTTCTCAAGGCCAGCCCC